CGAAACGTTTGTTCGCCACCACAGGCCACAGCAACCTAAGTTAGGTACATTATATTTATTGTATATTTGTGATTTTTGATAAAAACAATAAATATTTGTGTATATTTATCATCAATTATAAAAATACAAAAAATATAATACATTTAGTTAGGTTGCTGTGGTGGCGAACAAACGTTTCGTGAAAATATTCACCCCCCTGTTATGTAACCCACGAGGTATTTTCGCGAACTTGCGCGTGACTTTTAAATTATTTCTTTTGAATTCTAACAGGACAATTGTACTGGGAGGTTTTTCCTCCCAAGTACAAATAATATTTCCAATTTTTGGATTGGGACTATTCTACAATAAAGTACTCTTGGATAATGTAATCTAAATACATATGAAAACGAAGAAGTGGCATTTATCGGGCAGAGAAGCGGCGAGCCATTAAAATGGCGGCAATTTGACGAGATATCGAAGGACACATTATCGAAGATAAAATACACTGCACTGTTTCGAAAGTGGATGAAACCTTCTTTGAAATCTTCTTCAGCCATTTATGATTATGTAAAAGTACAATAACTGGATGATATTTGCGTGATTCGGTGATAAAAAGGAAACAAGACGGCAAAATATGGCTGAAATCGCGTTTTCGTGGGGGGTAAGTTAAATAAAATGTATTATATTTAAAGAAAACAATGACAATCCTTATGAAATCAACAATATTTATATTAAATTAAGCATAGCTTTTAACCCCATGATAATTTTTTTTAGGAAATAAGAATATTTAATTTCTGCCTGGCATATTAGTTATTTTATGCATAATCAGCAATTTACCTGGGGTGGTGGTGGTCATTTTCTTGTAAAATATTATACTTGGACAAATTTTTCTTCCAATGACCACCCCTAAAAGCAACCCTTCTAAACACTATAAGCACTTCAGAAAGACTATCGCTTTTTGTTTTCTGAAGTTAGAGCTATGTCGACACTGCCGTTTCAGGGCGGGGTCATTTTCAGGACTTTCGTCCCGGATTCAGCTTTTGGCACATATGCCATGTTGACCGCCATGGTCATTTTACCCTAAAACAGTTGAGATTACCTGTGCTAAATGAAATGCATACAAACTCATATACAGGTCCTAGACTATTAGTGATAAGGTTAATTCAAAGAGCGTATTAAACTGGATAAACACGGGAATAGAACTTATGGTGTGTTCTGCACATGCGTATATCTAGGATAAAATCCCACAAGCGCAAACGAAACTATTTCTCTATAAAGTTGAGCTGAAAGGACTCACAGTAGGGATGGGCGATACCAGCTTTTTCATTCGATACGATATTTACTCGATATTTGCCATTTTTTTTCGATATCGATACCGATATCGATATTTTCCAAACTCGAACAACCACAACAAGAAAAGATTATTTTCATTTCTTCGACGCCAAAATCATGCTGGTTGAATACGTTTTCAACACGTTTATTTTCATGATTGTAACTAACATAACCACAAACTCTGATCCTGCCCGTGGACCATTAAGCACCATAGAAAATGAACTACTTTGATAGTATTTACGCCTATTTAGGCTTTTTGGCATCATTTTCATGATTAGTCCGCTGACCACAATGAAAAAATATCGCAGGCTCAGAAGTATCGAAACAATCGATATTTCTTGCCAGTATCGATACTTTTGTTCAAAACCCTGGTATCGATAGTATCGAGTATTTGGTATCGATATCGGCCCATCCCTAACTCACAGTGACCGTTTTGGCAGTGCTTCAGGCGCCCGATGATATTGTATGAGGAGCCTTTTAAAAGCACTGTCAACTTCTCATCTTGAGATGTTCACGTTATCGCGTGTACTTGTCAGGATGACGAAGGATTGCAAACCATGGAAAACCATGGAAATTCGGGCAAACGCTAGGAAAAATCAAGAAAATTCGGGCAGATTTATCAGAAAATATGTTAAAATCAGGTTATTTCATTACAATTCTTCATAAAAATTCGGACAAACTTTCAACTGTCATAAATAACAATTATCATAAATAATCTCACATGTGAGATTATCACTTTTATCAGTGCTCGAAGTACTATTTAAAGCACGAGTAGGAGTGTTTTATCACATATAAAACACGACGCGTAGCGGAGTGTTTTATATGTGATAAAACACGACTACGAGTTTTATTACTTCTGCTGAGTACTGCCGAGACTATTACTTCTGCTGAGTACATTAGCGAAGTAATTTTTAAAATAAACTTTCTCTAAACCGAGAAAATCAAAGCTAGAGTTTATGTAAATTAACATGATTTTTTATCACATAATATAAAACCACGACACGCTTATGATTTTTCTTTGTGTTTTCCTCCTGAATTATTAATCAGTCTTTTAAATCTCTATAAAGCACTATACTTTATATAATAATATAGAATAAAGATTTGTATGTTCTAAGACTCTAAAAAGGTTTAAATGTAGTATATTGCTCACAGGCTGTCAGAGAGTTTTTGTAGTACATGAAAGTGCATGTTTGCCATGTTGTTTATACGTCTGTAGTCTATGTGTTTTGCAAATTTAATACGTCAATTGTACACCTGTTAATACGTTTTCAACAGGGAAAGATAAAATGCTTAGGGTTCATTATTTATCGGTTGGGCGGGGGTGGGGGCGGGCTGGTAAAATAATGGGGGGGATATATTTTATAGGCGAAAAATAAAAAGAATGGTCTTGGGGAGACAATAAAATTTTATAGCATTGATATAAAGAAGATAGTAGAGAGATAGTGGCGTAGCCGGCGTAAATGGTGTGAGCCATTTTAGAGGAGGTCTGGGGGCATGCTCCCCCAGAATATTTTGAAATCTAGAGTCCCTGAAATGCGATTTCCTGCATTTTCGGGGTGTGAGTTTGCATAAGTCCGAAGACTGTATAATGCATAAAAGACATGATTTTTCGTGATGGAAAATGATGGGTTAAAATAATGCGAATTACTTTTAAAACCGAATGATGATTGAAAGTAAATATATTTTACATTTAAAAACCCAAAGTAAACCCTTTCTTCTTGGGGCCATATCTACTTACTTAGACAAGATTATACACAATTACATTGTGGATTTAGATTTTATTTCGCCCCCCCCCCCCCTGTTGGCTAAATCCTGTCCAGCATCCCCAAGTTGAAGGTCCTCTCTACGCCCCTGGTTGTAAAGAGCACACAAAAGAATAGGATGGGAAGAACTACCATACGCCCATACTATGTTCTTCTTAACTTTAATGTTGGAGGGGGGTGAAAAATTTTCAGACTGTTCTAAAGGGGTGGACTACATTTTTAAACACATTAAAAGGGAGGGTCATTTTTATTACGCTGTTTGAATTTTAGAATCCACCAGCTCCCCCCCCCCAACCGATAAATAATGAACCCTAAGTCAGTTTTATATTTCCCGGTGTACAATTGACGTATAAAATTTGCAAAACACATAGACTACAGGGGCCGGTTGTACGAAGGCTGCATAGCGCTATCCACCGGATAGTGATTTTTTCAAGCTTTGTTAAATCAGTCGTTGATTGGTATAACTCGTATTAAAGTTTAGCAGTATTTATAAGTTAAATGTTTTTTATACTTCTTGTGTCGTCTATATCCGTAGTTTCACAGTTTTTCAAACATTTTACAAAGGTTGAAAAAATCACTATCCGGTGGATAGCGCTATCCGACCTTCGTACAACCGACCCCAGACGTATAAACAACATGGCAAACATGCACTTTCATGTACTACAAAAACTCTCTGACAGCCTGTGAGCAATATACTACATTTAAACATTTTTAGAGTCTTAGAACATACAAATCTCGTATGTTACTTGTGTTACTCGTATGTACTCGTATTTACTCGTATGTTACTCGTGTGTACTCGTATGTTACTCGTGTGTACTTGTATGTTACTCGTGTGTTACTCGTATGTTACTCGTATGTACTCGTATGTTACTTGTATGTACTCGTATGTTACTCGTATGTACTCGTATGTACTTGTGTGTTACTCGTATGTTACTCATATGTACTCGTGTGGTGTTTTAGTCACGATCTTCCGAAAAACGTTGTTGCCAACGAAAGTTGTTGCAGATCTGTAAACAAGTTGTAACAAGGTTGTTGTCAAGCTGATATCAGGATGTGTTCGCACTGCTTTATCCCAGTTGTTGTAACAAGTCTGGAACAAGTTGTTGTCCGCCTTGTTACAAGATTGATGACGGTAATACACTTGCTACAAGTTGTTCCAACAAGACTACAGACTGTTCGTAACAAGTTGCTACGAAGTTGTTGTCATCAATTTGTTTTAAACTTGTCAACTTGAAGACGATATCAGACATGTTGGAACAACTTGTGGCAAGCCTGTCGGCCTCGTCAAACTTGTTAATATAAAGATGAAGATACTGTAACTTGTTCCAGACTTCTCAACAACTGAGAACAAGCAGTTCTAGCACTTCTTGTTGACAAGCTATAAGGCAATTTGGAGTTTCAGCCATTTCTATCTAGAACACTATGACACTTAGCACTACCATATGTGTACTACATTGTCTACATATAAAGTAAATGCCTACTAAATGGTTTATCAAGACTTTCAATACGCGTATAGTTGCTCAAAGAACCTCGCGAAGAACAATTAGTTTCCTACGGTGTCCCAGACGCGACATCACAAAATAAATTTTGTATATTTACATTCCGCATTTTCGATTTTCGAATTTTCTGCATGTACGGTACCAAGATTTATTTTGACCGCCCATTAATCTACTGTTAGAGCTTTAGCAATGCCTTACAATATAAAAGTCATGCTTATAAAGCAAAGTGAACCAGTGTCACCGCAGTGTGAAAAAATTTACCCCGCCATTTCAATTGAGCCACTGTACTTGAGTCTGTGCTAGCCTGCGAACAGGCTCTCAAGCTGAAAAGTCTGTGCTTGAGTCTTGACATTTTTGTGGTTTTGTATTTCTTGTGCAATTACACTCGAGACCTGCGGCACCAACAAGATGCAAGGATATATTTGATATTTCAGTTTTTTACCTTTTACAGTATTCATTGTTAGCTTTCAGGTAAGTATATTGAAGCTTTTCTGAATGATTTTGCCTACTGTGCGTTCGCGTAGTTATAAAACCGTGTGAGGGTCGATATCTTGTATAAATTGACTTTTTGTTCACTGCCAGAACAGACCATATATCACCACAATTACCTGACATGAATTTTTTTAATTATTGATTTTGTCTTAATATGTATTTGATATTTCATGTGTCGTCGATATAAAAGTTTGATTCTGATCGTCAGCGACGTTTTGATAGTATTTCAGTTGTGACGATCGATGATTTCCAATTGCTCAACACTGAAATGTGGTGTCATTTTGTCTACAATAGATCAGTATACATATTTCTGAAGAACGCATCCTCATTTACATAGAAGAAAGCTATGACATGTAAACATCAAGGTCATCAATTAGACTGCATTGAGGGGAAAACCCCTGTCATTTTGAGAACATAGAACAACCCAATGAGAAGTGCAGCTAGCTTTCATTACTGAAGTTGCATGACATGCATAGGTGTTTATTAATGAACAAAATTCAGAATGACAAGAAGTGTGACAAATTTGCAACATTGGTTACAAATAATGGCAACATTGAATTGGCTGAACATTAACCCATTGAGTAGTGGCACTCTCCCCCTGATGAGAAACCACATCTGGCATTATAGGGTGCATTGCCACTTAAAGGGTTAATATCTGAAGTCATATGTTAAACCAAGTCATGTCTGTGATATATCTATCACATGTTAAGTTATAAATCACAAGCATCATGCTTTGATATTCTGCATCACATCATCTTACCTTAACCTTACCTAAACCCAGGGGCGAAACTAGCCTCTCTTAATTCGGGGGGTGTCTGCCAGAATTGCCCTGCCAAAAACAATGATGTCCTGCAGCAAATTTTTATTTCTGAGACCATATTTTTCCCAAAAATGTTGGCGAGCGAGGTGAAAAAATTTTTTCCGCACATTAAAAAACATGGTGCAACTGAAGCCATAGCTGAAATCCGGAGTTTGCACAAGCAGTGAGAGCTTGTTGTTGGAAAGTCCCTATAACTTCCTGACAAATGGTCTTCGCTTGAAACATAAAGTTTTTCTTTCACCGTATTTTTCAGGTAGTTGACATGTGTATCCGGGCCTTCACACTGCATCTGTCTATACAGTAATTGTATGCATAAAATGCGATGAAAGTTATTTGACATATATAAAACTTACCGATTTATGCCAAGAAAGCTATATTTAGAGAGCACAACATAGAGAGCTCAAGGTTCAGATTTTTACTTCCACTACTGCTACCATCAGGCCTGTTGCGGTATATTGATTTAGTCGATAAATATAGAAATTTCAAAAATATCAATATTTGATACTCGATTTTTTGAATACCGAAAATATATTGAAATTATTTATTTCCTGGTAAAGTCGCACGTAAATAGTAAATAAATCTTTTTAACATTCATAAAATGACCATATTGCAGTAAATAAACCTTTTGATATTTGATTAGTTTCACACAACTTTGTTCTTTTGCTGTTTTTGATGCGGTATACATTTATCTTGCTGTTTGTGATGCGGTATATTGACTAAACTACATTTCGTAATTTTGCTAATAAATTTGCATATTTTTTATATTAAAGTCGATATTTTCGATATATTTTTTTATATCAATATATCGAAATGTTCCAATCCGCAACAGCCTAGCTACCATTACCATTAACCAATTAGTTGCATACCTTAGTCTACCTAGTGTGAGAGGACTAGTGGTAGTGGAAGTCACATCTAAACCTCTCAAATAAACCAGTTGGAAAAATTATCAAAGCCGAAGTTTGTGAATATACGCAACTGCTGAACCTATGGGTTATATTCTTCAAAATAGTCATGACTAGTTCTTGCCATTTTCAATGTGTACTCTTTTCTTTCAAATGTGTGCTCTTTTCTTTCAAATATAAGTCAGTAAAAAATATTTCAGTCTTTCATTGGTGTTTTTTTTTATTTACTGTAGTAAGGCAGTCACACCCACCCACCATGTCACTGACATCAGAACTCCATAGTTGGCCTGCCATTGAGTTTATAATAATAATAATAATAATTTATTCAAACAAAGTCCCAATATTGGAACATGGATTATTATTCACAGTTGAGTGTTGGTTTGAGCCAATCAGAAACCACAAAGTCACCAAATGACCTTGCTTTTACTCTCGATTTCAATTTGCTTTTCAAAACTGACTTCCAATGTTTACTTGTAAATTCGGAATGTTCATTGTAAAGTTCCGAAGTTTGTTTCGAAGTTCGTTACGATGATTTACGATGATTCAATAGCAAGCGATTTGATTGGCTGGTTCACTTAACTAGCCAATTACAACTTACTAAACTTGATCATCGTAAATCATCGTTAGGTAACAAACTTCGAAACAAACTTCGGAACTTTACAACGAACATTCCAAATTTACAAGTAAACACTGGAAGTCAGTTTTGAAAAGCAAATTGAATTCGAGAGTACTTGACAGAAGTCACGTGATTTTACTCTGGGCTCTCTACATGCACCCTTGATCCGATTGGTTTGCTTCTAATTAAGTCGTTGTTACACTGTTCGTATATGTATTTCATTTTCACTTACCTGTATCTACCATAAAATAACTCAGTGGCAGTTAGCGTGGTATACCTGTATGCCTATATAGGGAATAGGACTGTACAGTATTTCACAATAGAACACTGTTTAGCTATATCTGTCCTTACCTAACTTTAATTCTCACCTTATTTGTTACTTTCATAATCTTTCTTATATTTTTTTAATAACCCTGTAGCTTCCTTTGTCTTTGAATCCTTTCTTTTTCCTTAGTAATATATTCTTTATGTGATTTACATTTTTTGTTTACACTTTGTTTTGACTAAATCCATCTGATTGGTTTATTTTTGTCACATGATCGCTTATATTCACCAGTACAAAAGCACATGTATTTTCCCGACCCCCGCTACTAGCTTCCCGATGAAGGGCCTTCGCTCGAAAGGCCGTCGTTTTACTTGTATATTTGAGGTTTTTCCCTTTCAACCCGCAGCTTTCTGATCATATGGAACAACCTATGGTATTGTGTAATTTATTTGCATTTTATAATTATAGGTTGAGTAATTAAAATGGGTGACAGCAATGAAAGAACATCTCTTCTCTTTGATCCGTAAGTATCTGAAACTGAACGGTCAAAACTTAAAGCACCAAGCAGGGCATGTTTTAAAAGTTGATATCTGCCATATTAGAACATACATGATTAGCACACAAATAACGGCAGTTACTGTACGTAGTAATTGTTTAAAATGCATCATTATCATCATCGTCCCATCTGTCCCCTCAAAAGGGGTGAAGTCACTTCGATACCTTTCTCCATTCTATTCTGTCGTCAACGTTATCCAGTTCCACCACTCCATCATCCCACACACAATGCATCCACCGCCTCCTCGGTTGTCCTTTTAACTAAGAATTTGACAATGTGTGTTTTATTTGCATCAACTTTTACGAAAAAGGTCTGGGTTTCACACAGGGCTTGAAAATGTACTTGTAGACCACTTTCTGGACATATATATATATATATATATATATATATATATATATATATATATATATATATATATATATATATATATATATATACTGTACAAGTATATGTAAAGCCGTTTTTACACTAGAGACCTATAGACCTTACCTAGGACAAACCTAGAACAGTTAGTCCTGTACTGTAGTGTAAAGTCTCAGGTCAGGCCTGCAGTGTTATTACATTTTCACTGACCCAAGACGTGCTCGAGACTAATTTCCATGACAACAAACGTAATTTTGAGTCTTTGATGTCAGCATTCAGTAGATGTCATTTTCTACTTTGTACAGTAATTCATTTTGCATGTATATAATGGCCAATTCAATGGGACTTGGGCCTTTAGTCAGGTAACAAATGTAAACACACCGTGTAAAGCCTGGCTAGATACTTCTCAGGTACAGGTAAATGTCAGTCCCTCAGTGTAAACACGGCTAGACTAACATCACATGCTCTCCCCCTGGAACCGGTTAACTGGCAGAGTGTCAGAATAGCAATCTTATATACGAGTTCAGCTTAGCCTCATCCCAAAGGCTTCATCCGCAGCCATCTCTTACAGTAGTCTTGGGTTACGGTGATCGAAAAGTATTAGACCCTGAAGCCTGATCTTAACCCTATGCATAGAGATGCCTGCAAAGAAGGCTACTTCCAGCCCCGCGTGTACGTCATTAACATTAACAGCTTGTACTGAACAGTACAAAGGAAAGAAACAAATGATCAAGTATCAATTGACATGCTACAAAACAAAAACTTACAAGTGAACGTACTAAAGCAAGCACTCATTGCACCTTAATCAAGGTGACGGCAGGTTATCGCAAAAACTGCATCCCATCAGCGACGCTACATCTCCATGACCATGGATGCATGGACCGCACAGTTAAATAATACGAGTCGACTTGTACCAAGTCTAGTACAAATACAGATTGGTGTATACTGTAATGTATGTAGAAGTGATTGTTTACTTTGCTTTTTCACTGAAGCTCGCAATCTTCTGAAAGTGAATTGCAGATTCAGCCACAATCTTCAGGTATACAACGTAAACCACATGGAAAGGCACCACCACACTACAATACCATAACCCAGAATAATTCCGATGGGGTAAGTGAAATATTTTCCAGTTTGTTGTTATAATAATGTACGGTAGTTCAATTGTTATTGTAGGTATTTGGCGTAATTAAATATATTATACGATGTTTATTGTTTAGTTCGATTGCGATAAATATAACTATCCCTGCAAGGTTTTAGTACTTTGCCAGCATGCAATGCAAATTAATAAGTTGTTTGAAAAAGTTGACCGAATTTATTTCCATTCTGTATAATTTTGTAATAATAGTTAGATGAGCGTTGCTCTATTTACGTACTAAATTCCATCTTTCTCCCATAACTTTATGCAATTATGTTTTACAAACCCAATAGTCTGTACATACGTTTTGTGCTTGTATACAGTATATATATATGATTTTTTCCCTGAGATTCTACTCGTGATGTAATGTGTAGGTGTTTTGATCTTCTTACGATTATGAGCCGGGCAAGCAGAAAATTAATTCTATACTTGACCACGGCTGGGAATCGAACCCGCAACCTTTGCATTTATATATATATATATATATATATATATATATATATATATATATACACGAGGCGCAGCCGAGCGTTTTATATCTGATAAAACACGACTACAAGTGCTTTAAATGGCTTAAAAAACGACCCATCTTCTGATGAGTACATTAGCGAAGTAATTTTCAAAATAAACCTTGTCTAAACCGAGAAAATCAAAGCTAAAGTTTATGTAAATTAACATGATTTTTTTATCACATATAAAGATACGACACGCTTATGATTTTTCTTTTTGTTTTCCTCCTGAATTATTAATGAGTTTTTAAAATATATATATATATAAGTTTAAAGATTTGTAATCCAGGCATATTATAATTAATTAAAGTTCTCCGGATTGAAATATATATATATATATATATATATATATATATATATATATATATATATATATATATATATATATATATATATATATATATATATATATATATATATATATATATATATATATATATATTTCATCATTGAAATAAAGAACAATGCCCTATTATCCACACAACAATCTAAGACTACAATCAACTCCTTCAAAAAAGATTACTCATTAAGCCTGAACCGCGAGCCTTTTCAGGCTAAGAATGTTTTAAACTATTTGCCCTTATGCGAAGATCTAAGTATAATCGAAGATGTTTCTGCAAACCTCACTTTTGACGAAAATGAATTAGATCAGCGTAAGCAGGATTTATCCGATGGGTGTCAACATTTCAAGCAACGTGGGAAGCAAGGCATATGTAGGAATTGCGACCGATCCTATGCAAAAACCGTGTTAAGCCTTGATGCCCTTAACCCTGACCAGGTGAATCCCCGATCGGATAGGTCAATCAGCGAGTCAAATCTAAAGCATTCTTCGTTCCCTCATCTTCCAACCCCGAGACCCTCAAGTCTTAGACACGGTCAAGTTACAAACCCCTTAGGGTTTCGTAGGCACCATTGTAGTCGGTATCCTTTTTGTATCTGCGAAGCAGATATATATGCTATCGCAAACGTGCCGTGACCGTACCGTACCGTACCGTATCCCTAGCCATTCAGCGACGGGCTTATATAATTCAGGCAATTTATGCCAATTTAAGCCAATCAGCGATTCGTTTACATCAATTGTTTACATCGTGCCCGCTGATCTAACCTGCGAACGGGCATACTTTAGCCTCGTCAGGCCTCGTGTATAAATCGTGTTTTATATTCTTTCAAGAATATCTTGATATTTTTATCAATTTATCTTGAATTGGCTGTCTTTTTTTTATTCCGAAGTTATTTATCAACATGGAATCTTATCCTCATCTGGTAAGTAGTCAAATACCACATATTATATATTTAAATACCAAATTTGTGCAAATATATGTCCCACATATTTTACAATATATGAGTTCGCCAGTTCGGCAAATATTTACTATACTATCTATAGTTAAATATTGCCGTATCTTCGGCGTAGAGTTTACATGGAATGCACTCTGGAATTTTTTATTAATATATTACACTGTATAAAATATTGGATATTTTCGAGGATATTTTAAGCCATTTGTCAACATAGTTCACAAAAAGATTTATACAGTATTAAAAACAATCCTTCTGTGACTTCTGTAGTATTTTAAACAGTGAAAACATTCTCAGGAGATATTGAATTAAATCCTGGTCCTGTATTTCTGTATATTGACTCCATAACTCTGTTCAAAACAACAGTCCAACTATAAAGCTGTCATCAAATGTAGTGTTAGAGCAAAGGTTGAAGATGTTATCAGTTAAAATACTTATGCATTTTGGTTTTACACATTAGAGTTAATTAAACAAAATTTTTACAAACATTTTCAAATAAAAGAATCCTCCCCCTCCCGAGCCTCATTACATTGTCATTTTGCTTTCTAACATAAATATTTTTCTTTAGAGATTAATACAAGAATGAAGAATGAATGTGCTGGATATTGGCTGGATAATTTTGTCAGAACAACCAACTTGCAAGACAATCTTACCTAAATTCATTGTTATGGAAAAAAACTTAACAGCTACAATGAATAATCATATATATTATATGGTGGATTTGATCAATGGCACACAATGTACAAAACTAAACTTGTGATACCTTCTACTCAAACCGATAATCTCCCACAACACGATTGTTTTTGTGTGAATGTGCTGTACGTGTTAAACCGAACAGTGTAGTATATCATTAACTGTGCACAGAACTGGAATTTAATTATATACTTCACTCATGACCTTCTAAACATTCTCAATTATTCAGTGGTCTTCGACATGTTCACCAAATATTTTGTGTATGTTACTCAACAGTTAACATTGGCAAGTGTAAACAACAAGTGACATAACTTTTGCTTCATATGATTACAATAAAGTTTTGAAAATTTGATAAGTATGGATTGAATTGACAGGTGACAGTTTACTAAATAGCTGGCTGTATAGACACTTTGAATATTGTTTGCATGAAATTTTTATTTCCTGACTGCATAATTATCTGTTACAATCATAATCACATTATAAAGTTAGTTAAATTTTCTCGGTGGGGGGGTGGGGGGGGGTGGTTGTGGTTGTACTTGCCCTGCTGCACTCCCCGCTGTGTACAGCCCTGTTTTAAATCTTATCTGCCATTATAATAAGTGATGAAATATTTCAATTGTCCCATGTCATCTTCATTATTCAGTTTCTTTCAAGAAAATACAAAATGTGAATC